GGACCGTCTACTGCAACTTTGCACAGACCACAACCTGTTTCTGGCTAGCACTAACTTTCGGCACAGTCATCGCCGATGTGCCACCTGGCGTCCTCCCTCTGCATCTCAAGCCTGGACTCAGATTGATCACATCGCGATCAGCTACCGCTGGCGTGGTTGTGTAAAAGACTGCCGCTCCTTTTGGAGTACCTATCTGGACTCTGACCATGCCTTGGTCTGCGCCAATCTTGCCTTACTTTTCAGTGGACAACGAAGTGACCACCATCAAAGGATTGATGACAGCAAGTTGGTTGCAACTTCTGTTGCAAATAAGTATCGAACCGAGCTAGCCTCTAGGCTAGCTACCACCCCACCGAAAAGTATAGATGAGCATTGGCTGCAATTGCTTGACGCCAAGAAAATGGCGGGAACAGTCAGTTGTGGGTTTGCGAAAAGTCCCGCTTTTAAGCACTGGGTATCTTCTGGTTCCTTACAATTCATTGAAGCCCGTCGGTCGACTCCGGGTGACCGTGAGTTTGACCATAAACGAAGGATGTTACGTAGGGAAATTGGGCAAAGCTTGCGTAAGGACCGAGAAGCCTGGTGGTCGGAGCGTGCTAATGAGCTGGAAGCAGCAGCTGCATCTGGTAACTACCGGAAGCTCTTCCAGCTCATCCGAGCCACTGGCAGCAGGAAGTCTGGTGTGAGTGAAACGATCTGCGAGGATGATGGGATGCCAATCACTAACATCCATCGACGTCTTGGACGATGGGCAGAATTTTTCGAAGGGCAGTTCAACTGCCCTGCTGCTCCGGCAACATCGGTCAGACTGTCCTGCCCTCCATGGCCGGTGACGACTGATCCACCAAACGAGGAGGAAGTCCGCAAGGAACTCCAACTCTTGAAGCGTTACAAATCACCTGGCCCAGATGACTTACCTCCGGCTCTTTTTAAAGATGGTGGTGACTTTTTGACTAAGGAATTGACGACGTTGTTTTCAAAGGTTTGGGAACTAGAGAGTGTACCAACGTCATGGAATGAGTCGATAGTTGTCCCTATCTCTAAAAAGGGTTCACGTCGTTCCTGCAACAACTATCGGGGGATAAGTCTACTTCCGATTGCGTCCAAGCTATTGGCTTCCGTCATACTTCGTAGGTTGTTCAAAACCCGAGAAAGATTGACTCGCGAGGAGCAGGCTGGGTTTCGTTCTGGTCGAGGTTGTATTGATCATATCTTCACCCTCCGCCAAATGTTAGAACATCGCCATACTTATCAAAGGCCAACAATCGTAGTGTTTCTTGACATTAGGGCTGCCTTCGATTCGTTGGACAGGACTGTTCTCTGGGATTGTCTATTGAAGAAGGGTGTGCCTGAGAAGTTTATTAACATCCTAAAAGCCCTATATAAAAACACCTCAGGCAGAGTGAGGGCATACAACCACCTCTCTCCATTGTTCCATTCGAGTAGTGGGGTTAGGCAGGGTTGCCCAATCTCACCATTCCTCTTCAACTTTGCCATCGATGACATTCTGGAAACAGCTCTGATGGATGTAAGTAATGGTGGTGTGGATCTGTTGCCTGGAGAAAGACTTCTCGACCTTGAGTATGCGGACGATATTGTCTTACTGTGCGACAATGCCCAAGGCATGCAATCTGCACTTAATCAGTTAGCAATCAGTGTCCGTAGGTATGGTATGTGCTTTGCACCTTCGAAGTGCAAAGTACTTCTACAAGACTGGCAGGATTCCAATCCTGTACTCACCCTGGATGGTGAGCAGATAGACGTAGTCGAGAAGTTCGTGTATCTGGGTAGCTGCATAAGTGCTGGTGGGGGTGTGAGTGATGAGATCAATACACGTATAGTGAAAGCCAGAGTGGCTGATGCCAATCTGGGCCATCTTTGGCGCCTTCGTGATGTTAGTCTGGCTGTAAAAGGTCGGATCTACAACGCGTCGGTGAGAGCAGTTTTGCTCTATGCTTGTGAAACCTGGCCTCTCCGAGTTGAGGACGTTAGACGACTCTCTGTGTTCGATCATCGCTGTCTCCGAAGGATTGCTGACATTCAGTGGCAACACCATGTCAGTAATGCAGAGGTTCGGCATCGTGTGTTTGGGCACAGAGATGATAATTCAATTGGTGTCACCATCTTGAAACACCGACTTCGGTGGCTTGGACATGTTCTACGAATGTCGTCCCAGAGAATTCCACGTCGTGCATTATTTGCCGACTCTGGGACTGGTTGGAAGAAGCGGAGAGGTGGTCAGTGCATGACTTGGTGTCCTGGTATGAAAGAAAGCTGCAAAGGACTGGCTTGTGTTGGTCCTTCACGACTCCCTGGTTGGGGTCTGAGAGATGGTGCTACACAGTGGCTAGAGACGTTATCAGATATGGCTCAGAATAGAAGCCAGTGGCGATCCTGCTGTAACCTTCTTTTACTTTCTTCATAATAGTGGTTGTGTCTCCCTTACTTGAAAGATTTCTTATGATTGTACCTTTCTGTTCCATCGTTACGACCACACTACCTTTTGTGGTCCTTAGTTTTTTTTTTCTATCTCTCTTCGAATTTTCATTGTTTTGTGTGGCGCATATATATTGGCGCTCTCTTGTACCAATATTTATGTGTTCAAATAAATAAATAAATAATAAATAATGTAGGTAACTGGGAAATATCAACTGTTCACATAACTCTAGCAGCATTCAAAAACACCTTGTCTGTATTAAAATAACTTCATCTCTTTTTAATATTTTTCCTCTATCTCTACTATCAAATTCTACCTTATAGCTTCCACTTATATAGTTATAGTCATGTGCAACGTAGAATCTGATACATAAGTACGTCAGCTCAAGTTGTCATGTCTTATTAGCAAAGAGAGATAAAATTATCGAGACAAATCCCAGATTACTCAGAGTAGTAATAACGTTTGTAGTAGTAGGAAAGATTCAGTACATTCAAAGAAAAAAGGTATAGAGAGATTTTGTGACAAAGGTTAGGTTCTAAAGCAAAACAAGGAGTGAATGTATATAGACCGTTGTGAGTGGTCCTGATTTGTCATCAAATGTTGCGAATCATCGTTTAGGATAATCACGCCGACTCCAACGCGGTAATCTCAAGCTACTTAAATGATTCAGTCTACTTGTTACTGACTTCATGGACTAGTGCCACATCTTGGTTTAGCCACTTTCAGTTTACTTAAATCTACTCTTAAACTAGACAATATTCCCCGTCAAGATAAGTGGTGATCGGGTATATGTAACAAACATCCCAATCACCTTAGTTGATAAACATTCATTACATACATACTACTAGTAGTGCTGAGGATACAAATAAATTCTATAATATATTGAAATTTCTATTCATTCATACATCATTTTATGATAATAGAAAGAGTCTATAGAAAATCAATTTCACTTCTCTCAATTGATGTATTCAGTTAGAAAGGTAAGTTAAGGTGAGTGAAGTGAAGTGAGGTGAAGTAGCATGCAATAATCACTATCATAACAAACAACTAACTGAATAAATAAATAAATAAACCAGTGAAATAACCGATCAACAATAAATCAACGATTTCGTTGAGTATTTTTGAAGTTTCAATGTGATGTGTTTTATATTCTTCAAACAACTTCAAGTTGGTTTTCATTTCATATTCATAAAAGGACTGTGTTATAATTGAGTTGATCTAGAATAGTTTCAATATTCAGTCATTGTAATGCATTCAACATTTACGGTTATTTTCTTGTTGTTGTCTAACAGTAAATCAACGAGCACAACATATAGAAGTTTAATAATTTATCCCTAAAGATTTCGTCATTTCAATTCATCATCAATCGGTGACGAAATTTGAAATTATTCAATGGTTAGATGGTGTCATTTTCATTAATGAGACTTGAAGGTAATGGATACATTTGTTTCAATGTATATGGATTTTTGATAATCATCAAACGAATGTCAACGCAAAAATTTCAGAAATTCTCATTGTGGAAATTAATACAAGATATCAAGACGAACAGAGTTGTTTTAAACTCGATCTTTATTAATCTTCACTCTGATATACGATACTTCGTAAAACATTTATGACATATTCATAAAACACAATGACATAAACAGTTATATATTGTGGTTGACATCATGAAGTTACTGTAACAAAACAATCATTGAAAACCAGTAGGCACTAGACAACTGTTTCGTCCTTAATATAAGACTTCTGAATAGTGAAAATCCACAAGACTAACATAGATCAAGTTCAAAAACAAAACACTTTACAGCCTCTGTATAAGCTTTAGACCGCTGAGTCAAGAACGATCGATTTGAAATGACGCTCGAATTTCTTCTTTACACGAATGAGACAAATATCTACACACGATACCATGACAGTGTCTATTCTACAGGACTTCAATGCGATTTCGATCACGAACACGTGACTGATCACACTAGAACGTGAGAATGTTTCAACGACAATAACGAACAATAAGAAATAATAATGTGATAGAAAACATGTGACACATCTAATACCTGTCAGACCATCTGCTAGTCTGACCAGGTAAACAATCAATTAGTATTTTTATCAGCTACACATCAGGTTTATGTTTTTAGCTTGAGTCAGCTCGCAGCAAGCCTCAGTAATGAGTAATTTCGAGAAGTAACGTCTAGAGTTCTACTAACAGGCTATGATCAATGTAGTTCAGTTATATCGGGTCTGAGGCAACTACACATCAATATCACTAGATAATGATTTCGTATTGATGTAAGTTGACTGACTGACTGACTGACTGACTGTCTTCACAAGCATCAACCATTAGGTCCCAACTAGTGAGTATAAGGATTTATGTCTCGCCATGAAGTCTGAAATTCTTTCAATGGTTCATCAGAGTAAAATACTGAACAGTTCAATGCTACAATGAATGAAATAGCCATTTAATGTTTCCTCATTTTCAATTATTATCTGTCTACAATCAGTCCATCATGTGTATAACATAAACATTTAAACACTCTCTGTAATGAACAAAAAACAAACTAACGCTTACCAATATATTCTAACACTATGCCTTTTCCATGAATAATATATGGATCTAATAAATTTCAATTTGATGTAAACTGTAAACCGTCTACATTACTGATTAGACCATAAATTTGCCCAACTAAATATGATTCATCTGGTGCATATAATTTATTATAATCTATTGAATTCAATGAAAATGATCCAGAGGAGATCGAGGAAGAAGAAAAAGATAATGATGAATTGATCATTTCTACTTCTGGTAATTTTGTTTTTGTCTTTGTGGCGATTGTTTTCAATGTGGAATTATTGATTAAACAAAAACGAATTATTGGTATATTGTACCGTCATAAACATTAGATATACGATCATCCACTAATAAATAATCATGACTACATACAATTCCAGGATTTGATGGACATGCTGATCCAGTAGCTAATATTAAATTATTATTATTTGATAATACAGATCTAAACGATGACAATGATAAAATAGTTGAGAATGATGACGAAGCGAAAGCTGATGAAATTCCATCTACAATAGTGTAATAGAATAAAAGTACAAACAACGTAAAATGTGAATTGTATGGTGTTCTGAGGTTTACATCAATCCATTTAAATCACACTTGAATAATTCAACCATTAAAAAACAGATAAACGCGTGATGTATGCTACTTATTTCGACAGATATAACTAGTATGTAATACCAAAGTGAAATAGAGTGACTTTTAGCAAAAGTTTCAAATTGAATTACAAAAATGTTATAATCTCTTTCTTACGGTTATGACCCAGCTATTACGTTTGCTTAGTATTCTCGGACACCGGAACACGGTTGAACAGGAAAGAGATTATATTCCAAATAACTATGTTAGATGGAAGTAAGAAGCAAGTCAGCAGCACAATAGGGAAAACGTTAGTATATTTAAAGTATTTGCATGAGAAGATTCTGGAGTGTTGACTAATGCTGGTTGGATAAGAATTAGCCAATCGGCGTGCGGCAAAGCAATCGTGCATTGAGCATGCTTTAATCTAGTCTATGTCCCGCTAACAGAAAAACAGAAAAGGAAACGGTGAGGAATTGGAATGACAGGCGAATATGAGGAATGAAGAAGTATGTACTGGACAACTGAAGGGAGACCTGCAAATAAAGGACTTAATTTTACGAAAGCATTGTGATATTTGACGTTAAATGATAAATTGGTTATCCCCACAAAAGTGTTCGTTCAGTGCATTCGAATATTGTGTAATAGCGTTTTATTGTTAATAACACTGATTAATACTGACAGTTATTATATTTTCATCAACTGAATTAAATAAATTAAACAGTTACTTTTGACAGCCACTACTCATATTTTGATATCATACTATGACGTTTTTCTAGCTTATTAATACCAACGTGAAGACAGTTCTACCTCGAGAAATATAACAACCATCATCAAAAATGCACAAGTATTTATAAACAATTGTTTACGTAAAATATTGAATGTCCGTATGCCGGATACCATCAGCAACAGCCAACTGTGCGAGAGAACAAACTAGCTTCTAAATGAAGAAAAAATTAGGAAAAGACGCTGAATAAGACATGTATTGCGGAAATCATCAAACTGAATCGCGAGGCATGTCCTAAATTGCAATGAAAGGGGGGATCAGAAGCAGACATCAAAAGAATCAATAGCAACTGGAAAGGATTTTTAAGAACAGAGTTCCAGGAAGAATTCTGGTAGGCCGGCCTAAGCTCCTCACGAGGGTTAACAAGCGCAAATAATGATGCCAAGCTAGGTTAATTACATTAATTTTACATTGAAATTTAATCCAAACATAAAGAATGCCTTTGATGTAAAAAAAGTAAGTATATATATTTTGAAAGCAAGAGAGATGGAAAGGTCAGCGGCAACAGGTAATAGCAAACGATTGTTCAGACTTTTTAAGGAAACCGGTAATACGAACTCAACTGTTGACGAAACTTTCTCAGAAAAAGACGGATACATTATACTTTCTCAATCCAGGAGATTGGATCGATGGGTAGAACACTTTAGGGATCAGTTCAACTGGCCTTCAATCACACTTCGATTTCACACGACCTCCAGTCAACCTGAATAGCAAGTTAATGTAGGTCCTCCGCCTCTTTATGAAGTTGTAAAAGCCATTGGAAATCTGAAGCGAGGGAGAGCAGCAGGCCCTGACAGATTTACTCCTGAGATTTTTAAGGATGACGGTTCAGTATTAGCAAGAAGATTAAATGAGGTCTTAGGTAGAATCTGGAAACTGGACGTAATCCCATCTGACTGTTCTCAATCACTAATTGTGCCAGTCTATAAGAAAAGAAAAAATTCCTCTTGTGACAATCACAGAGGAATCAGATTGACAAATATAGTGTCTAAAATATTAGCTTCAATAATACTTCGACGCCTAACCAAAGCTCGTAAAGAGCAGACTAGAGAAAATCAGGCCGGTTTTCGACTTGGACGTGGTTGTATAGATCAGATATTCACATTACGTCAGGTCCCAGAACATAGACACACATCAAGACGCCCCACAATCGCAGTATTTCTCGACATTAAGGCGGCATTCAACCCTGTTGATCGTGAGGTTTCGTGGCAGTGTTTGTCACTGAAAGGAGTACCAAAGAAGTACACTAACCTTATAAAGGCTCTCTACTCGAACACAACTGGTCGAGTGAGAGCTTATGTCGAACTGTCATCAGAATTGATTACCTCAATTGGTGTTCGTCATAGCTGTCCACTTGTGGTGGACCAGACAATGTACAAGCGTAAAAAATATTGACAAAGTTATTTAAAATCAATAGTGCTGTTAATGTATATAAGTTAATTGTTACAAATACAATAGAAAATAGGGACTTTACTTAAATTCACTAAATTGATGCGTGTCCGCATTTGGTCTGGTGTTGAAAATCCACAATTATAAATGTTTGATTATACCAATCAAGTTGATGAACTCTCCAATGAAAGGTATGATACATTCCCAATCACAGTCTATAAATGTTGATAATCTTCTATTTGGGCTTCAGTTAACTCAATCATAAATGAATGTAGAACAAGGGATATGTGTGCAACAATGTATTTGTTAGCAATCCACGGTATGTCATGCTATGTAAGTTACACAACGGAAAGTTTGTTCAAGGTCATTCAAATGGTTCAAATGGTTCACTTAAATAACACGTACAGCCATTTCACGGCGAATGTACATACAGTAGAAAATTGGAAAGTTAAGTACAAATAACATTAAAAACTATTCGCAAAATAAGTTTCTCAGGTATATCTATACACGCTCACTCCACTCTTGTTTAACTTTGTCGTTGACGTGCTTTTAGAGATAACACCTACCTCGTCTAGATTTCCAGAGGTTGAACTTCTACCGGGAGATTCACTTTTTGACCTAGAATATGCCGATGACATAGCTCTATGTGGTGAAGACGCTGGCAAAATGCAGAGTCTTCTGACCACTCCAAGCAACAATGCAAGCATGTTAGACATGCGATTCTCTCCCTCGAGGTGTAAAGTCTTGCTTCAGGATTGCGTTGCATCGACACCCGAACTAATGATAGAAAGTGAAGTAGTTGGGCGTGTCGACCTCTTCACTTATCTTGAAAGTCTGGTGTGTGACGAAATCTCAGCACGGACACAGAAGGCTCGACGGGTTTACTGTGCAGTAGTTCGTTCCGTCTTACTTTATGGCAGTGAAACATGGCCGGTAAGAGTAGAGGATATTCGTAGGTTACTAGTATTTGATCATAGGTGTCTTCGAAATATTGCTCGTATATCCTAAGAACACCGAGTAAGTAATTCAATTGTTAAGGGACGGATACTGGGTAAGGATGGCATATCGATTGATGACGTAATGAAACTGTGGCACCTTCGTCTGGTGACGATGCAGCACCAATCGACTGGATCCATAATACTAGCCAGTTATGTGTTGCTAGATTAGAAAGTTCCATCACAGTGAGAAGAAATCGGCGTGAGAATCGATGCTTTTTCGTCATCTCTGCCAAGCCTCGACAGATTGCAGCCCGGATGAAATCAAGGATGAGTTTTACCACCAATTATCTGTTCTTCTCTAGATATAGCGTTCGACAGATGTTTTAGTACTAGCCGGAGACTTGAATGCTCAGGTCGGTCATCTAGGCACAGAAAAGAGTTGTTTAGTTGACGGATGAGGAATCGTTGGTCGCAGGTCAGATAACGTGAACCGTCTACTGCAACTATGCACAGACCACAACCTGTTTCTGGCTAGCACTAACTTTCGGCATAGTCATCGCCGATGCGCTACCTGGCGTCCTCCCTCTACACCTCAAGCCTGGACTGAGATTGATCACATCGCGATCAGCTACAACTGGTGTGGTTGAGTACAAGACTGCCGCTCCTTTTGGAGTACCTATCTGGACTCTGATCATCCCCTGGTCTGCACCAATCTTACCTTACTTTTCAGTGGCCAACAAAGTGACCGTCACCAACGGATTGATGTTAGCAAGCTGGTTGCAACTTCTGTTGCTAGTAAGTATCGAACCGAGCTAGTTTCTACGCTAGATTCCATTCCACCAAAAAGTATAGATGGGCATTAGTTGCAACTGCATGAAAATGGCGAGTAAAGCCGCTTACTGTTTCGCGAAACGTTCCCGCTTATAAGTACTGGGTTGCTTCAGGCTCCTTAAAACTCATTGAAGCCCGTTGGACTACTCCGGGTGACCGTGAGTTTAACCACAAATGAAGGATGTTACATAAGAAAATCTGGCAAAGCTTGAGAACGGAGCGTGCCAATGAGCTGGAAGCAGCAGCTGCATCTGATAACTACCGGAAGCTCTTCCAACTCATTCGAACCACTCACTGGCAACAAGACGTCTGGTGTGAGGGAAACAATATGCGAAGATGACGAGTTGTCTTCCGTCATACTTCGTAGGTTATTCAAAACCCGAAAGTGATTGACTCAATTTCTGATGTAGCAGACCCCTCTCACGCTAACATAAATAGCCATAACAGGGGCTGCGAGTCTAACCATCAAGACTATTTTGTAATTAACCATACACTTCACAGTAGGCCTGTACAAGATTTTTTTGGAATAAGACCCCTAGTGACACCTTTGTTGAAGTATATAGCCCAGGTTATTTCAAACCACATGCAAACCATAAATTTTTTTCCTCTATACAGTTTCCATCACAGAGTACTCCCACACTTTCCTCCTGGGTAAACTCCCCAATTAACTTCACTAGCTCATTTGATACATCTCCCACTAAATCTAGCTATCAAAATACCGAGCTAATGAAGAACATTCAATCCCTCATTTCAAACTCATCTCACACCCGCGAGGGTTACGACGACTTTATCCGAGATACCCTCACCCATTTTAACTTAGTAGGCCACTTGCTTAATATATGCCTTATCAACGCTCGGTCGATCTGCAACAAAAAGACGGATTTAGCCCTGTTTGTATCGATATATCATCCATCAGTTATTATGATTTCTGAAGCATGGACTAACAGTAATATTTCCGACCAAAGTATATCTTTTGATAACTATTTCCTGTGTAGAAGCGACAGATTGAATGGACGAGGCGGAGGATGCCTTATTTACGCTCACTCTAACCTAAGCTCACTACTATGTGATATGCCTGAACTAAACAAACTGAAGGATTCGGTGTGGATTGTATTAAAGCTGTCGAATTCCGTAACCTTACTGCTCGGCTGTGTTTATTGTCAACCTAACGCATCAATAGATGAAATAGCAGTTTTATCGGAGGTATTCACACTAGCATCATCCCTCTCATTCACAGGCAAGCTCATTTGTGGTGACTTCAATATGCCCAAAATTTCTTGGCTGCCAGTTAAAGCGCCGAGACGTTATGAATCATTCATTGAATGTCTAGAGCTCGGACAATGGACTCAGTATGTCGATAGCCCTACCAGACATCAAAACATCTTGGACTCAGTCTTTACCGTTGGCCTCATCCCCAATACTTTGTATATTGGAAAAACGTTCCCAGGTAGTGATCATAACATTGTCATATGCAGCCTTAATGTAAAAACCACAACCAATAGAAGCAAAACCGTAACACTTCGTAGAAACTATCGCAAGATTGATTGGAATAACTTCCACACTTGCCTATGAAGCACTGATTGGGGAACCTTCTTTACCTCAAACAATACAGACACATTAACCAATATATTTTATCACAACATCAAAAGTATCATCAACAACATCGCACCTTTAGAATGCTGTACACCTGCGTTCTCCAAAGATCTCTATATACCGGTCAGTACAAGAAGACGTCTTCAAAGACATTGTACTCAATTCCACAACTTAAATGACTTTTCCTCTTTAGTAACGATGACAGAAATACTTGTCCGAACAGAAGCAATAAGTAAACAAAAAGCAATCACACAGGAAAAACGTGCAGTTGAACTTAATAATAACTCCTCTGCACTCACCATACTACTCCAAAATAAACTTAAACGCTCTAAATCGAGAGGGAGTATATTCATTAAAGGCAAACAAGTATACGAAGATCCCAAACTTGTCACAGAATTATTTAGTGAACATTTTTGTTTCTCACTAACTAACGAAAAACCATTCAATAATTCAGAAACAATTCCAGTAACTCCCTGTGAAATTACTAATGTAGAATTCAGTGTACTAAATATCTCCAAGGTAATCAGTACATTGAAACACTTCTACACTGATGGACCAGATGGTATTCCATCTAGCATGCTAAAACGTGGAGGTGATGATATGTGTGTTTTTCTTCTCAAACTATTCGCGATATCACTCTCTTCAGCGTGTTACACCACTGCCTGGAAAACTACACATATCATTCCCAAAATTAAAACAGGACCTGAAGCAAACGTTGAAAATTACCGGCCTATAAACATAACTTCAGTGGTATCCAGAGTGATGGAAAAAGTAGTTAAGGCGGCTGTAGTCCAACATCTACTAACTAATAATCTCATCTCGACCTCCCAGCATGAATTTCTTAGGTCAAGATCATGCGATACATGCCTAGTAGACTACCTGAATGATATAACTCTGAAACGAGACAGCGGACTCCTTGTATAAGTCCTATTCCTAGACTTTAAGAAAGCCTTTGATAAGGTCCCACACAAAAAGCTACTCGTCAAACTAAAGTCCTTCGGAATACACAACCCACTGTACTCATGGTTTGCTTCGTTCTTAACAGAACGTAAACAGATGGTAAAGTACAATGACTGTCTCTCGTCCCTTAGACCAATCACCAGTGGAGTCATCCAGGGAAGCGTATTAGGTCCACTTTTGTTTCTTATGTATATAAACGATATATGTGACACCATAGAATTTGGGAAACCATACTTATATGCTGATGATCTCAAAATAAAATACAGCTATAAGCCTAAGACACTAAGCGAAAGTGTATCCCAGATCCAAAAGGACCTCAATAACTTAACTATATGGAGTGAAAAATGGCAATTACCATTTAACCTCAACAACTGCGGGATCATGCACTTTGGAAAGCATCCCTATAAACCGCAACTTCACTTAAATGAAAGTAGAGTCCAAACACTCGAATCAGTACACGATTTAGGAATTAATTACACAGGAAGCCTGAACTTTGAAGAACATGCCTCCTCTATTATTTCTAAATCTAGACGGCTAATTGAGCTTATAATGAAAAACTTTTTCACAACAGAGGGTAAACTTACTCTCTACAAAATATGTGTACGACCCTCCATTGAATACTGCTCTTTTGTCTTCTCTAATATGAATATCACAGACAAGATAAGAGTAGAAGATGTTCAAAGACGTTTCACACGTCAACTACTAGGATGTAACTCGAATCTCGATTACACAGACAGATGTAAGCATCTATCTTTAGAACCTTTATGGCACCGTAGGCTAAAGAACAATTTAATATTTCTCTACAAAGCGATATATGGGCTCTCCTTTCTAACCTCCTGCCCGACTATACCCTCTCATATCTTTTGATTTGCTATTAGTCCTTACTTCTTTAAACCATTAGTTATTTTCATAGCAGTGTGATATACTATGTGGACATCTAACCCATAAAATAGACTTTTCAACTATCTGATTTGCTTGTAACATGGACCTAGTAGAGACAGTGTATTTCAACTATGTGCTTTGATTAAAGCAGTATTCATACTT